TTCGGCTGCGTCAAGTCTTCGAGGAAGCTTTCCTACTTTGATTTGGGAATTGCATTTGGTAGAGCTTGGGCCACAACCCACATGGCAGAGGCTTTTCATGAAATTGTATTGTCTCATTTCGACGCGTTTTTTGCGTTGATGCAAGCCAGGCAGTCGAACCCAAAGATGAAGTCAACATTTTCAGACTAACTAAAGTAATTAGCTGCATATTTAGTGTACCTAGAATTCTTTTTCCTTTTTTCTCTTCCCTTCTTTTTCAAGAAAGATGAAAATTAAAATATGCATGCATATGCTTGCACTTCATGCTGGTCAATGAAATATGCTGCTAAGTTTATTTTTGTATCTTTTAATATGGAAACAAATCTTGTTTATGGATATGCTGCCTTTTCTTTTCATCTAATCTAATCTAACATATATATATTGATTCTAACATATAGAGTTCTCTTTGAATGTCATGTGTTTAAATCTGAAAAAATAGCCAGACGAAACATGTCCAGTAAGATTAAGATGAAATTACATGAATGTTAAAAGATATTAGCAGGGATATTCCCAATCGATTCTAACTTACAGATGTTTTTCTTGATGCCACCTGTAAAAGCTTGGGAAAACTTATGCATGTTATACCAATTGAAAATCCCGCTGCAAAGGGCGGTTAGTCTTCTAATTCTTCCGATTACCATAGTCTCCTCTTCCTACATGTCATGGATTCTTATAGTGTTAAAATCTTTTATCACTAAGATACCAATATATATACCACCTCCTCTCTTAATTTTTTGCAGTCAACCTCCTCTCTTAATTGTCTCCCATATCAAAGTTTTTATCTTTTGAAAACCATTAAATACTTCGTTCAATTATTAAGATTTCATAAATAAATTAAAATGTTTTATATAAAGATGTGGCAATTTGTGGTTAATATTATATTAAGTGTTATTTTATCGAGGTCAAAATTATTCAATTAATTTTTGTACTCTGTAAAAAAATAAATTTAATTTATGTAAAATAATTTATATAAATTAAATCTCTATATTTTATTAATTTCAATTCAAATGTTATATATAATGATGTGACATACCTTTCTCGACCGTTTAGATAAGATTAAGGGTAGTGTTTGTTCTTATCAGTTTAGTATCTGATACGTGAGCCATTGGTTGACATGATGTTAAATTAATTTTTTTTAGGGGAAGAGCCCACCACGTTTGGGGCTCTTGTGCGTCACCCAAGGGTTGCATTATTGCTCGAGCTTGGTGCAATCCAAAAAAAAAAATAA